AGGCTAAGGCTGATTACAAGCTGAGACTTGCCAAGAATATCAAGAGCAACAAAAAGGGCTTCTTTCAGCATGTAAATAGGAAGAGGAAGGGGAGACAAGTGGTGGGACCACTAAATAAGGAGGAAGGAGATCCAGTGACTGATATGAGGGAACAGGCACAGAGGCTAAATGAGTATTTTGCCTCCGTGTTCTCCCCAAAGCAGGATGGGGGATATCCGCATAGGAGATTAGATGAGGCCGGGGACTTAGGGGCACAGATTAGAGTCACCCCCCTTGAAGTCGAGGGGCTCCTCAGGGCTTTGGACATTACAAAGGCACCAGGCCCTGACGGGTTACACCCAAGAGTACTTCGAGTGTTGACAGGCGTTCTCTCACGCCCGCTGGCCTCCATTTTTGAGACCTTGTGGAGAACGGGTGAAGTTCCAGAGGACTGGAGGGTGGCATCAGTGGTCCCAATTTTCAAAAACGGTAGTAGAAGGGACATGGGGAATTATAAACCGGTTAGCCTTACGTCCATTGTAGGAAAAACAATGGAAAGGCTCATAATAGAGAGAGATCTAGTGATGCTAGATAGGGAAGGGAGGCTGACAGCCACAAAACATGGCTTCCACAAAAACAGGTCCTGCCAGGCAAACCTTGTGGAATTCTATGACAAGGTTTTGAGATGGCTAGATGGAGGGGATGCAGTGGATGTGGTATACCTGGATTTCAGCAAGGCCTTTGATAAAGTGCCCCATGATTTCCTGGTGGAGAAACTGAGGAGTTTTGGGATACACCAAAGCACTGTCCGGTGGATTAGGGCATGGTTGACTGACCGAAAGCAGAAGGTAAACATTAGCAGGAAATCATCGAGATGGTGGCCAGTGACAAGTGGGGTCCCCCAGGGCTCTGTCCTGGGGCGGATCCTGTTTAATCTTTTCATTAACGACATGGAAGAAGGGGTGAACAGTCTGCTGATCAAATTCGCAGACAACACTAAAACTGGAGCAGTGGCCACAACTGAGGAGCAGGTACTCCGGATCCAAAAGGATCTGGACAGACTATGGAAGTGGGCAGGAGACAACAGGATGGCATTCAATGTGGATAAGTGCAAGGTCTTGCACTTGGGGCATAGGAATAGCTGTCATAAGTACAGGTTAGGTGACAAGTGGCTGGAGAGCAGCACTTGTGAAAGGGACCTCGGGGTACTGGTTGACTGCAGGCTAAACATGAGTCAGCAGTGTGATGCGGTGGTCAAGAGGGCAAACGCCACCCTTGGTTGCATAGCCAGAAGTGTGGCTTCTAGATCGAGAGAGGTATTACTACCACTCTATATGACTCTAGTGCACCTGCAACAGGAGTATTGTGCTCAGTTTTGGGCCCTCATTACAGAAAGGATATAGCCAGGTTAGAGTCAGTGCAGCGTAGGGCCACAAGGTTGGTGGCCGGTTTGCAGGGGATGCCGTATGAGTCGAGACTGAGGGAACTGGGTCTCTTCAGCCTGGAGAAGAGGAGACTCAGAGGGATCTGTTGGCGACATACAGGTATGTGAAGGGATGTCACACAGAGGTGGGTAGAGACCTGTTCTCCCCTGCAAAGGAAGGCAGGACGCGCTCCAACGGAGCAAAGCTCAGGGAGCCAAGGTTCCATTTGGATGCCAGGAAGCACTTCCTGACAGTCAGGACCCCGAGGGTGTGGAATGGGCTTCCACAAGAGGTCGTTGAGACCCCATCGGTGAGGGTGTTCAAGGATAGGCTGGACGTCCACATGGTGGGCATGTCGTGAGTGGAGCCGGCTGGTGCCGGAGGTCAGACTAGATGGCCCGGGAGGCCCCTCCTGACTCGCTCTGTTTCTATGTTTCTATATGGTAGCTCTTTGCTGTTACTGTAACTAAGCCATAGGAGAGGCATTTCACCATTTTAGAATGGGGAAAAACTGAACAAAAGCCAAGAAAACATCAAAAGGTTGATTGCTAGGGGAAAGATGTAGGGTCAAGAAATGGAGACGTGGACATTTGGGAAGCTTCAGAAGGCCAGGTTGGAATGACAGAAGGGCCAGATTTACCTTTCAGATCTGATATTCCTGGAGCATGGGTGGAGTAGAACCACTGAAATGTCATGGCTAACCTAAATCCCAGTTATTTCATTAAAGCTTCTCTGAGGATGGCTAGACCACAGCAATCACCATGTTTTTATTTTAGTTTTTTTGGTTTTACATGTTTACCGTAAACTTCCCAAACTTTGGTTATTGGGCAGTACATAGGTACTATAAATATCAAAAACTGATAACAATGGAAAGAATGTGGCAATTTTCTCTTACTGGGTCAGTTAAGCTGGGCTCAAGGGGTTTAATAGCTTCCTCCCTGTCTGTTCCTCTCACTAAAACCGCCTCAGGAATGCATGGGGAAAATTCCCGGGTTGTGATGCATAGGAAGGAAAATGCTTTCACTGGATCCAAGGTTTCTCCAAGTTTTCAGTGTTGTCAGACAACTGAAAAGGCTGAAGACTTCTCTCTAAAGCCTCAAAACAGATGCTAAATGCAAACAACCATTTGTGTAAAGAGGCTGTTCAGGGACTTCTAACATCCTAATTCCACGAGAAATGTACTTACAACAATCCAAATCCAAGAAAATATTGGGCAGCCCCAGCAGAAATGGCAAAGCCTCAGACCTTAATAACAGCCCTCTTCTGTGTACAGACCTTCCATCAAGAGCAAGTTGATTTGGGCCATTGGCCAGGTCACACAAATTCACTTTGTCACTGGGAATAAGCCCCATTTTTTGTAGAAAGGATGGCACTGATTTTAAAGAAAACATAACAAAAAGAGTGCCTATAACCATGTACGTGAATAGTTGGTTACCCAGCCCAGTCCAGCCCAGCCCTCCCTCCCTCTGTGTGTGTGAGAGAGAGAGAGAAAGAGAGAAGATGGAAGGATACTGCACAAAGCAGTATCAGCCAAGGGGCGCTGTTGGCTACTGCATCCCCGCCTGCCATTCTCTGGGGGTTCATCTAGCAATCCTCTAGGATTTAAGGGCCCTAGACTGGGCTCATGGCTACCCATCTGCACAGGCCATTCTCAGCAATGTGGAACAAGGTCTTTGCGCCCAACTGTGTAAGGAGTATGTGTGCTCAGCCCAGCTGCCTGGCCCTGCGCAATTAAAATTGTTGGGGCCCAGTCAGTTGGCACCCAATAATAGGCAATTATATTCTCTCTCTAGCCATTTGACGTTACTATACAAATTAAAAGTACCTAGCACTTCAGATGTGTCAGATAATTTCAGATGTTTCTGTCACATACAATGTGATTTCTCATGGAGTTTGAGTCCCGCAGCGACGATACACCTTCCCTTAAAAAGAAAAATGAAGGCTCCGCTTCCTCAAAGTTAAAGATAAAAGCGAGTGGATGGCCACAAAAAACTTTCACAATACTATAGGGGGCTCTCTTGAAATGGAATCAACCTCCAGGCAGGTTTGAGGCCTTTGATTTGAAGAATGAATTGTGCATTCTTTTAAAGGCATTCATTAAGCTTTGCTCCCTAATCCTAACTTCATTATACTTCTATGATATGTTCTGGCTTTTCTAAGAGCCACCAGAAGGGTCAAAATCAAAGCTTGGGCATGGAATTTGGACATCTGCCCCACCCTTTGGTCACCAAACTCCAGGCTCATGAAGTTTGGGTGAGGGGATGGAGATTGGGATGGGGAACCCCAGACACGCAAGCAGGGGAGGGAACAATGTGGATACAGGGACATCCCAACCTGCACAGGGCTTCAGGCAAAGCTCTCTGTCTTGTAGACCAGTCAGGGGTGCTGGCAGGGTTGGCGAGGAAGCAGGATGCCCAGGCCGCTCCCACCACTGCAGCCTGCTCTGCCATGGCCCTGCTTCCCCCCCCCCCCCCCTTCAGTCTGCTTGCTGGCATGTGCTAGGACGGAAATCCTCTCCTGGCCGGTCAGGGTTACAGCTGCACAGTATCTGGATTTTTTTTTAATTCTCCAAGCGTGAGGGTGGCTGGGAGCAGAGCCAGTTCGATGCTACTGGGCAGGGAGGGAGGGAGGGAGGGGGCCCAGCCCACAAGAGCAGCATAGTGCTGAAGTCCCTGGATGCGCCACTGCCCTCGCCAGAGGCAGCTCTGATGGGTCCAGCCGGATGCTGCTAGTGCCCCGAATGGGCCAGGCACCCCCTCTCTGCTGAACTCCCAGGCCCACGAGGCTTCAGGGTCTGAGGGAGACCCAGAAGAGGAGGGGTTGAGAAGGCAGGAGGATCAAAGAGGGCAGGAACCCTGGAAGCTCCACCAAGCTCCAACTGCCCGCAGTTCCCAGGCTGAGGTGAGAGCAGGCTTGCTTTGGAAGAGCCTGGAGGCAGCCCAGGAAAGGAGGAGAGCCAGTGCTTTGCCCAGTGCCGGACCCCGTGAGGAGGCCTCGGCAGAACGAGCCACCCAGTTAGAGGGCTTGCGTAGGTCTCTCAGGCTGAGCCTCCACCAGCGGGAGCTGCCCTGAGTGGGGCTAAAGCAGAGGCTGTAAACTCTCTTTACGTGAGCAGAGGCTTACTGTTCAGCTAACTATTTAGAGTTACCTTGCCCTGTTACCTGCAAAGCTTCAAAAAAGGTCTCCATTGTAAAGGGCTTTCCGGTGTTGAGGTAGTCTGAGGACTATGAGGGAAGGGCCAATAGCTGCCGTACTTGAGGAACATCTTTAAATCAACTTGAAGTGCAGCTGAAGCCTCGGAGGCTGGTCCAGCCCTGCAGCTCCGGGCACATGGCTTCCCATCACTGTCCTGGGGCCGTCACTGCCTGCCTGGAGTTTGCTTGGAGTCCCCCTGAAGACCTGGGCCTCAGACCCACACCCACGGCTTAGCTCTACCTGTGCCACTGAACCAGTACTTAGAGAAATCCATGGTGAGCTCCAGAGCCTCCGCGCCCACCAAGAAAGCCATGTACCATGATATAATGTGTAAGAAATCTACTGACCCCTTTAAACCAAGCATCCTTCCTTTGTCTTTTGCTCAGGTAATTGACATCCAAGAAAAACTGAAGCTTTCCAAAAAGTTCTGGTCGACGCTACCATACGCCATCTGCAAGGAAGAGAGCGTGACGGCGGGCTTGTCCAATGAGGAGGACTGCTGGAATGGCCACACCAAAGCCAAGTAAGGCGGGACAGGGGGACCTAGCAATGGATGCTTGCATATTTATGTCCCTTGGAAGCATGCCATCTCCAGTGGCCCTCCCTTTGTGGAAACATGCTTTGAAACGCTTTGTTGAACATACACCAGGCAAGATTGCACTGCAAGGGTGGTCCAAAGGCACCTGCCTTCATTTCCACTGTTTGTGAACAGGACAATCAAGGCTAAGGCACAGACAGGGTCGTTTCAAGGGTGTCTGCTCTGGCTAAAGCATCGGTTCTTCTGGAATCACCTGCAGACACACCACCCTGGACATGCCCACCCTCGTCAGATCTCAGAAGCAAGGCGGGGATGGGCCTGTTAGTGCTTGGATGGGAGTCCTTCAGGAACTGGCTTCTGATACAGCTGAGCCAGCTAGCAACTTAAGGAAAAAGTCAAAATTGGGGTATCCATTGCAGGGCCTGTTCTCATATTCTTTTCTAAAGATGTAGATGGGCTGCACCCATAGCTTAGAGTGTGTTAAAATGGAGTGGCAGTGTGATGATAAAAACTGCAACAGGTCATCATAATTTTATATATGCATATATCTCATCACATTACAAATTTGTTCCTCTTTAAAGTGCCACAGGATTCTTTGTTGTCCAGCCAAGCAGCTGAACAAAATACAAAAGTGAAAGTAAAATGATACAAAAAATGAAAGTCAGAGTATTATGATGGAAATGTAACATTTCCCACCTGCCCCAGGAACTGTCATTGGGAGCCAGCGGCAATGAATGGACACATCACAAAAAATTCTTAGAGCTTCACTACACATGAAGCTAAATAAATGGCTGGCATTCATATCACACCCACATACACACAGGCACACACACGCACATTACAGTTGGCTTTTCCCATGTCGCAATGCCAGTGGGAACATCTTTCTTCCCACGGATTGCGGCACGGGGACTATTTTTTCATGGACCACAGCTGGGAAGGGAAAGATAGAAGCTCTTGGCTCTGTGCTCCAGTCCCAATAAAACTGCACCAAATTGCCTGACCTGATTGGCAGTGACACATTTAGTGCCGCATGTAGTCAGGCCTCCCATTCTTTGCCCAGGGGACAAGTCCCAGGAATCACTACTGAGAAGCACACCAGCTAAACTGGTATAAAACCAATGCATGTCCTTACCTAGGCATTGCTGTGCCTGGGACCATTGCCCTGGGTTTATTTCCCAGGGCTCCAGAATGTTCCTTGATATCAGTGGAAAATTCCTCTCTTCACTGAAGGGGGAACGATTTCCAAGGATGGGTTGCAACTGAAAACTTTGTGCTAATGGAAGCCCTTTTTCTGTGCTTAATTGCATGAAGTGCATGTGTTTTCCCTCTAGATAGAAATGTGAACGATACGGATGTGTGAGACATCCCTCTGGAGGTGGGAACCCACCAGATTCCCTGGGCTTGGCTCCCCAGTCTGCGGCCTGCTCCACAGTGGCCCTGCGTGTGCTAGGAACTGAGCCCCGTGCGCTGCGCAAGCAGCATCCCCCTCTGGGCCACTTCTGCACTGGTTGTGCAGCCTTCATTCCACAGGTGTTCACGGACTTCCTCTCAGCTCAGCTAGTTTTGTGAGACCAGGCTGAGAACTAGGAGACGGATTCCGCTAGCATCCGTCCTAACCCTAGCGAGAGAACTAGGATGGGGAGCAGAGGGCTGGGAGAAGGGACAGTGAGAGATTGGAGGCGCATTGTTACCTGAAGAGGAACTGCTATTTTGGGAAGGTCTGAAGTGGAATTGAATTGAAGGGTTTGTTTTATTTGACAGATTTCAATCAGAAATTAATCATCTGCCTTTTCCTTCTGTGGCAATCAAATAAATCCAGATAATTTTTTTGCACACACACACACATGACTGATGCAAGTTTCCGTCCTGTGGCCCTGAGCCCAGGATCTTTTAAGCCTCTAATAGCACCCCTGTGTTTACAGCAGATGTGACTTAGCTTTGAACATCCTGTGTGATGTCAACATCTGATAAAGTTTCAGCTCATCCCTAACTCTGGCTGTGGCAAACAAAATTGCCCGGCATCCTTCTGAAGAAGTCAGGATGTCAAGATCACTTGTGGTTATTATAATTCTCCATTCCTTACAACTGCCACTGCTAATTAAATAGAGGCCAGGCAGAGTTAATTCTAGGCCATCAATTAGTAAATCACACACAGAAGGATTGCTCTTTCTAGGCCTTTTTTGTTGTTGAAAGTCAGCCAGTAGTGTCTTATTAGCGATGTCATTTGATCAGGTCATGTATGAAAAAGGCATTGGGAGTTGTGGGTGTGAGAAATCGCTGGATGTGGATGGAACAGTAATGAACAAATGAAAATGTTATCGTAGCAGTTCAGAACCTTTGGGCTCTTTGCATAATGCACAGCTACTCTGCTCCCGTCCCAGTTTGCACTCTGGAAAGTGCATGGAAACAGCGCACAGGGAGGTCCCGAGTTACGAACCACTTCCATTCCTGGAAAACCAGAAATTTGTCAAATTTGTTTGTAAGTCAGATCACATATAGTCGCCCCTCCAGCCTAGTGGAAATGAGGGGGGCAGGACCACCATGAAAGTGGAAAGAGTACAAATATTTCTAGCTCCTCCTCCCCACCCAAACTCACCTGGACCCCGTCTTTGCAGCAAGGAAGAGATAAATGCTGAGATTTCCTGCTCTGGATGAATGGGGCAGGAAGAATGCTTTGGAGGCCTGCTTCTCTTCCCTTTTGCTTCTCCCTCTCTGTGTTAATGATGATTTCCCTCAGTAATTGTTTAAAATTAATAACATTTATGGTAGTTTCTTCATAAGTATAAGTTATCCATAACTTGGACATAACTCAGGGACTGCCTGTACTCCTAAAAATATTTTTTTAACAATGAGATGTGCTTCAAAAGCCAAATGCTTCTGTAGATTGCTGCAACTTCAGACATGATTATATGAGCTCCTTGCTAGAAGTTTTATGTTATGAGAGTTGATATGAAGATACTAGAAGTCATTAGCAAGCCCTCTGCCCGCTTCCCAGCCACAGAAATACACCCTTTCCAGCCTCAGCAGTGAAATCTCTGTCTCTCTCACTGCCCTCTTCCTAAGTGTTCCCTTCTCCCTACCATTAGGCAAAGTGAGGCAACGTGAGGGTCGGAGATGAGCCCTTTGGCTGGTCTCCTCTGTTGGCAGATAGCAGAGCTGGGGGTGCCGCACAGCCTGCCCTGTGCCCCCAGACTGGGTTGTCGCCCTTGGGCGCAGCATTCCCCTCAGACTTAACTGCCAGTCCAGTCGCCACTTCAGCAAAGTGCTGTGCAATGAATGCCAAGCGTCCCTTGACCCAGAGAGGTCCAGGCAGGCCTCTCAGGGTTCTTTCTCGAGGCTGCCACAGCCTGGCTCCTTGTGCCATTCACTCATTTCCAGAGGGCAGAGGCACCTGGAGGGGCTCTTCTTGCACCCTGGAAATTGCGCAAACACCGGTGAGGCTGAGAGTGCAACCCTTTGGCGCCTCCTCTCTCCAAAGACTCCCAAGGTCAACTTCATGGGGCTGAGAATATGCACTCTGGGTGTTCCCAATACATACTGTGATTGTGGGGGCAAAGTATAAAGGAGCCCTTATTCTGCATAAGCCTTCAATCTCAGTTAAGCACCTATCAGATTTTTACTTTATTTTCTTGTTGTCACATGACTAGCATAACACTCTCTATATTTGCTCTGCTGGGGATGCAGGAAAACAGCCGAGCTTATTATAGATTTCATCTTATACTTTTTTACACCTTGGTGTTTGCTTTATGATGTGTGTTTGTGAGAATGAAGGCCAAAATGAAAGGATGAGGCCTATTGTGAATGTCTTCCAAAGCTGACATTTTAACACCAAGCAGACAGAGGGGACCAGACTGTCAAGCAAGTGTCAAGAGGAGCAGATGCTTGTCAGGGTTTCTACGTGAAACTGCAGTACAGTGCTGAAGAGCTCGGTTGGAAATACCTGGCTGGGGTTTCCAAATTATGGCTAATCATGGTAATTTCTGACAACTGCTGTAAAAAGATCCCACTAATTATTTGTTGTTAGATGGCATCATCCTGGGATGGAAAAAACTGCTTCTCCAATGTTACGAGCCAGGCGCTATTCAAATTTCTGCTCAAGGGATGCCCTTCCCATAAGGATTCATCTACTGAGGAACCTTTGCAGACCCGGTGCTGTACACTGGCACATCGTTGTGGGCTCTGGGACTGCTTTAAAGTCCACTTCCCAAGCCTGCTATGCTTCTGGAGGCAGCATCCTGTGCATTGCTACTCAGATGCACGCTGTATGGAGTAAACTGCCAGAGAAGCATACCGGGGGTTTCCATCTAGCTCTTGCATCCTGCATTATAAATGCATTCTAGAAAATGTTCGACACCCCTGCACAGCTTCACGCTACAAAATCGTCCAATAGCCTCCTTTCCATCAAAGAAACGGTGCTCTAGGTGCCCAACAAAATTAAGAACCACCTTGTTTAAAAGTTATTGAAATAGTCCAAAAACAAACACATTAAAGCACAATAAAAGAATACAGACAGCCACAAGTCCAACTTACAAGTCCAGAGCCTGCTTGAAGGAAAACGTCTTTATCTGCAGGTGGCAGGACACAGGAGAGTGACCCAACCTAGCCTTCCCCAACAAGGAGTTCCACAGTCTAGGAGTGGCTCCAGAGAAGACCTTCTTATCTTCTACCACCAAACACACCTTGAAGGTGGTGATACCCAAAGAAGCACAACTACCAAAGCCCTTAAGAACTGGGCAGGCTCCTATGGGGGTAGGGCCTCTTTCAAGTAGTCTCGTCCAAAGCCTGATAGGGCATTACCATCCCTCGGAATTGTGTCCAGGGATTCACATGTTCCCTGTACCTGACTGCTCCAAGTGCGGCTTTGGCATAAGGGTAGGTGAGACCAGAAAGGCCTCTCTTCCCCACAAAAAGCTCCTGAGAACGTCAGAACACAGAGAAGAATTGAACAGGATGCATAAACCCTACCAATTCCATTGTGTAAACAGCCAACACTACTTAGAAACATAGAAACACAGAAACAGAGCAAGTCAGAAGGGGTCTCCCGGGCCATCTAGTCTGACCTCCGGCACCAGCCAGCTCTGCTCATGACATGCCCACCGTGTGCGTCCAGCCTATCTTTGAACAACCTCACAGATGGGGCCTCAGCCACCTCCCGTGGAAGCCCATTCCACACCCTCGGGGTCCTGACTGTCAGGAAGTGCTTCCTGGCATCCAAACGAAACCTTGGCTCCCTGAGCTTTGCTCCGTTGGAGCACGTCCTGCCTTCCTCTGCAGGGGAGAACAGGTCTCTACCCATCTCCATGTGACATCCCCTCACATACCTGTATGTCGCCAACATATCCCCTCTGAGTCTCCTCTAGGTTGAAGAGACCCAGTTCCCTCAGTCTAACTTCATATGGCGTCCCCTGCAAACTGGCCACCAACCCTGTGGCCCTACACTGCACGGATTTATTTATTTATTTATTTATTTAAACATTTTTATGCCGCCCCATTCACCGAAGCCTCGGGGCGGCTTACAACAATTCCAACCTGGCTATATCCTTACTTGTGGAATTGCAATTTAGTATGGGAAGAAACATTCATTTCTGGAAGAGGGTGGGTGACCTGCCTCCTTCCAGGAATAAGCATTTCCATGGAGTTTGTGCCTTTTCCAGGACACATTAAATCTCCCTTGTGAATGTGGCGGGTACAGAATGCACAATGGAATCACTGGAACCTGTTGCTTGCAGAATTTGCAGGGCACAAAGGAATCAGTGGGGCACAACCCCATTGGATTTTGCCCAGTGTTTGAAAAAATGGTTATTTACAATTCCCTACTTAATTAACCATCCTTCCATTACTCTGAATTTCTTCAGTCAGCCTTGTCTCCTTCATTTTTTCATGAGGATGTATTTTCATTTGGATTCAGTGAGGTATAATTGGTTCCCACTGAAATCTGTGGGATTTGACTCATGGGCTAATCATTACTTGACTCATTTGTCCCATTGATTTCAGTTGATTTGAGCTGGATTTCAACTAACAGTTCACAAGCTGCACACTGAACAGAACAAAAATGAAGTTGTTCTTTATCTGGGAGAACAGAAAGAGACCCAGAGGCAAATGGGTTGTGCCAGTTTCCAACCTGTGCGTCTCACTTTCCATTTTCTAACCTTTCAATCATTCCCTTCTCACAAAGAAGAGAAATATAGACATATTTTTATACAAATATCATGTTCACCCCGCATTTCTTCCCAAATCAATCAACATGCATCACAATATACTCGGCCATTAATACCACCAGTGCCTTTGGCATATCAACTGCCCTGCTGCTGGGGGGTGGGGGGGTGTTTCTAATCCCATTTACTTATTTCATAGTTGTGTTTTAATTGTATCTCATCTCTTTAATTGTATCTCTCTCTTTCATTATTATACTGCCCAATAGCCTAAGCTCTATGGGCAGTTTATAACAGTTCATAAAACAATGCAATAAATTACCATAAATATTTGCAGAATACAAATATTTGAACAAAAAAGCTAAAACGATGCACAATAGGTGGCAGACCTGTAAAGCATCTGGGATGGGTAGCCCCCTCAAGCCCTGAAATATCCTTGCGTGTCTTTTTATTTATTTTATTTATTTATTAAAACATTTTTATGCCGCCCCATTCACCGAAGCCTTGGGGCGGCTTACAACAATCAATTAAAACAACATTTTAAAATATATACATTAAAATACAAATATATAATATAAAACATACAAAATAATGCCGTGACACAGAGGGCCATCTTCACTGGAGGCAAACAGATGCCAGGCAGGCCTCAGTGGCCACTGGGGAGCACCCCCACTGTGCTGCCCTCCAGGAAAGGTCCAGGGTGCAACTGGGAGAGGCACGATGCCAGCTGTTGCAGCCCCAAGCCATGTGGGGCATTGTAAGCGAAGGCCAACGCCTCGAACTGAAATCAGAAGCGCACAGGACATAGGCCAGACCTGGTCTTACATGCCTATTTATTTGAATGATTGATTTTAAACTGGATTTATTATTGGCTGCTTTAAGGATGTAAATAAATACCATATAGGAGGACTGATTTACATGAGAAGCCTTTTTTAATGAATTAGATCCAGATTTAGTTATACTTAGTGTAGACCCACTGAAATAAAGAAAACCTAAGTTAGCCTTGCCTGTCTTGTTCTACTTAATTCCATTGAGCTATCCTTAAGAAAGACCAGGTCTGCAACCCAGTGAGCAAATCAGCATGATCTCTTACATTTTTCACTTCAGATTGGTTTCCTGGTTAAGCAAAAGGATCTTTCTGAAAAACAGAGTGTCTGTTATTTTCACATTGAAATGATCCTATAAAATACATTATAGCAAAAGCTGAATGTACATTGCATGGGTAAACTGAACCTTCAGTTCTGTGAGGAAATAATGGATTCTAGTTTTTGAAAGCTTATGTCACAATAGGTTTATTAATTTTAAAGTTGTCATAAGGGTCGCTATGGGTTTGCTGAACCACAGTTACTCCCCTGGGGACTGCCGCAATGCTGACCCAACCTCGTTCTTCATTCCGTTGCCTAGGTATCTACCAGAGATCATGAATGACGGCCTCACAAACCAGATCAACAATCCTGAGGTTGATGTGGACATCACCAGGCCTGACACCTACATACGGCAACAGATCATGGCCCTGAGGGTCATGACAAACAAGCTGAAGAACGCATACAATGGGAACGATGTGAACTTTCAGGACACAAGTAAGGCCCAGTGTCAGTTGAAAAGCTCTTCTGTCATACCGCTGCTTTGGGGGATATTGGGATGATTCTTGTAGGGTGATTGTTGCTGAAACCAATGGCCAGGGCTGGTGACAAGGAGAGGCAGGGCTGGAACTTGCTGAGAGCCCATATCCCAGCAGAGTCCACCTAAAAAGAGCCCCCTTTAGCTCCTATTTGCCATTGTAACCTGCTTACTCGCATGCCGTTCACTCTGGCCCATGGAACAGAGCGGGTAAAAGTGGTGGAGCAGAGCAATAGGTGGCCAGCGGGCTCCCTTCCTATCAAGCAAGCAAGTGGCAGCAGCGATGAGAAAGAAGAGTAGGAGCTAGAGCAGCTGATGCTCGTGGTGCTGAGAAGCAGACTCACTCAGGGAGGCTGAATTACCTGACTGATACCTTTCAGAAACCTAGAGCCAGGGCTGAAAATTGCAATGTGCCAAATTACTGTCTTTAACACGGAAACTCTCTGGAAGAAACCTTGCTGTCCAGGCTGGATTTTCCAAAGACCAGCCTTTGGTTAAGCAGCAGGTTCCACTGGTCTGGCCATCCCAGGCTGCCTCCCCTTGCTCTCCAAGAGCAGTGGCTTTCTAAGGCCACACAGAGAGATGTCTCTCCCAACCTGGAGGCCTGTGATCCTACAACCAAAGGGCTGTCCGCACTGCATGGGGACCCCCCACAGCAGATTTTCAGGTGCTGGGAGGACTTTGGGCAGGACACAAAGTTCTGCCACAGAAGCTGACTTGAGCTTGCACTTGCACCATGTTGAATCTCTCCCCAGGATCCCCTGCTTTGCCTTCTGGAAGTGAGATAAAGGTGGTATCCTTCACATAGTCCTTCCTGCTGGCCCTCTGTACCACTTTGAACTAGACTAATAACACTTAACTTAAGCCAATGTATGCATGCCTTTGGCAGTTAATTTATCCCTGAAAAAGAAAGGACGCTTCCTGTTCACAGCATGTTTGCTTTACCTTTGCTATGCACAGAATTTTAAACATATTAAGAGATCTGCAAGATGGACTCCTTGTGTTGCACAAGCAGATGCACACAATTAAAGGATCTTATAGATGATGCATCCAAAACAATTCAAAAGTATCCTCAGGCTCTGAAGTAAGAAAATACAGTATTTATGCTCATGCTACAACCTACCCCAAAGCTATGGTCTAGAGAATCTTTAGGACACATGTTAGAAGCTTCGTATGGGCAGCCAATGCTGCTTTTTGAGCAGTATTGCATTCCAGTGCATTTTCGATCCATACGCCATGTGCCTGATTCAGCCAGAGCTAAGCATTTTGACCTTGTTTCATTTTTCCATTGAAGTCAACGCGAGGGCTTAACTCTGGAAACCCTTTTGTGTTCCCTTGTGGCATGTGCACCACTGCATTGTGACTCCTTTCCACACTTTGAAGATCGGAGCACCAACCCCCCCAGGAGGAAGCCACGTTGCATCTTTTCTTCACCCCAGTGTCACCCCACGGGGTGGGTCGCTGGGTTCTGACATTCTCCAGGGACCCATCCCTCAGTATCTCCCAGTTCTCAGGTTGGATCCAGATTTAAGCTGGTTCAAGTGCACTGATCGAGGTGGGCTTCCCTCCTCTTCTTGCCATGGCAGCCCCGCCAGTCCCTTGGACTGAGATGTGGTTCAGTGGGAAGGGTGAAGGAGAATCCCTAAAAATCGGATGGAGGAAGCTTCCATGAACAAACTCCTCCTTTACAGAAACTCCCTTCGTCTCACAGAAGGCAGATCCTGGATCCAGCCCTGGATCCAGCTGGACATGAGAGTCTCTCAGTGCTGGTTCACCCTTCATGCTTTGACCAGTGCTCACACTGGTTTTCTGTTTCAAGACCTAAAGCAGGACTGGGCTACTTGTGGACCTCCAGATGTTTTGGCCTGCAGCTCGCAGGACCCCTCACCATTGTCTGTGCTAGCTAGAGCTGCAGGCTAAACCCTCTGGAGGTCCACAAGTAGCCCGCCCCTGGCCTGAAGGTTTGCTCCTGCAGAAAGCAACAGTTAAGACAAACCTGTGCTTATCTCTGATGCCGTTTCCTTGCTCTCCTGCTCGTGCTTTCTGCAGGTGATGAGACCAGTGGCTCGGGAAGTGGAAGTGGCTGCACCGATGACATATGTCCAACAGAGTTTGAGTTCATCACTACGGAAGCCCCACTTGTTGATTCGGACAGAAGAGAAGTGGACTCTTCAGCAAGCCGTCTCAGCCAATCAGCACTCCCATGGCTCACCATTGGCCTGGTCCTCCTACTGCAACGGCAGTGCAGATAATCCTGGCTCTGGTCAGTGGTGACTGTCTTTAGCTCTTGAAAAACAAAATAAAATAGCCAACTTTCTCCTTTTTCATATGCTCTTGGACAATGGACCATGTCACAAAATAGTCCAGTTTTCTACCAGAAGAGAGTGGAGGCGCTACAACCTGCTCCCCTTTGAGCTTTCCCAAAGAGTACCAGGTGCCAGATGGAACTATCTCCTGTTCCTTCCAGATAGGTGTGAAGACAATGTCCACTCCTCAGATATCTCTTCCTGAGATTTTTTTTATTACAGGAGACTTTTCAGAGCTTCATTTGCTTTTATGCTGCAGGAAGAAAGGAGGGGTGGGGGAGGGAAATGGTGAGGGTGCAAGGGTTGGTTTTTCCATTACAAAAAAAAAAGAGAAAAGAAACCAAGATGTTTGCTCAAAGTCAAGCTAACCCAAGACCCAACAACACAAAGACTCAATGTGAAACCCAAGGAAAAGGCCAGACATCTTTTCTGGTGTCCTTCTAAATCACTCTTCAGGTCACCAAAACAATGTTTACCATCAAGGGAATTTTCTTGGAGCTTTGTTTTCTTTTTTAATATGCAAACAAGTCTATCCTTTCCATTCCATTAGCCATAAACAGAAGATTTGTTAGTAGGTTTGAAGAAAACCAGAGAAGTTTCTCATAGCAGAAGAACATTGCTCCTCTTAAAGTACATTGTTTAGTTCATTTCTTATTTGAATTCTAACCCTCTTTGTCCTAATTGGTTTACTCTTGACTCATAATGTATCACCAATGCAGGAGTCCGCCAGGTTGCTCTTCACCACCACTTTGTAATGAAGTCTTAACAATTCTTATAAAAAAAAAATCTCAAGGGTTTGGACAGAAAAAAAATCTATTGTGATATAATCTCTTTTCTTTAGTGGCAGGGTTTGACATCAAGTAGAATTTTCTGTGACTGCTTTTGTTACCAAAACAAAATGGCAGTTTTCAAAGGAACTGATACTGGTAATTGGATCAATATGTTAGTTTTGCATAGAAAAGGCATCCTTCGTATCTATTAGTTTCTGTATCAGAAGGGAACTCTGTTGGTAAAACGTTGACATAACTATATATATATATATATATATATATATATATATAATTATATATAGTACTGACATGCAAAATTTCTTTCACTTTTTTAGTCTTAGTATGACCATCTATTTTTATATATATAAATATATATATATCACAGATTTTAACTTCTTAATTACAAGCTCAGGGTTGACACATCTTTGTAGGGGGGAAAATGTTTGGTCAACCAGCTTTTATTTTTGTTGTGCTGCTTAGGAAAAGGCATCCTTTCAAGATTGGCAAGCGCATGAATCAAAGAGCAGAACTTGTGGCATCTTTGGTTGTCCATTTCTTTATGGAATTGCAAAGGAGCAACCCTTAACCCTCTTTTCATGTCTGTGCATTTGTTTGGAGGTGTGCAGCAACAGGCATAGGAATATGTTGCATGAGGGGAATCTGCGGCTGAAAATCGAATGCTAAAATGTGCTCTTCAGAGGTGAGGTTTAGCAGCTACAAGGGTTCTAGCTGCCCCACCACGCATGGGAATAGCATCATCTGCTAGACCAGTGTGGCTCCCCTTGATTGTTCTGCTGCCTCCTTGGACTCCGTCCTGTAGCATCCAGAGGCAAATAAGCAGCAGGACTTGGTGCCTGCCGACACCTGCTTCTACAACACACAGCCTGGTTTCAGGGAGTACGGTAGATGCTTATGAATTTCCCAAAAGAGGAAATGCCTCACCAAAACACACAAGGGGTGGGGGCACAACATTTGCACGTGCCAATTCATGGGTATAGGTGCAGCCTCGGAAAACCATTTTCTAATTTCAGGAGAACACAGGACATCTCGCCAGAGTGGGGCAGACTGTGACCAGGGGTCCCGTGTGACTTGCTCTGCCTGCTGTCCTGACACTAACTGTGGAGGGGCAATTCCAAGGCCCCTGTGCCCCTCCCCTTCTTACGGATCACGATCTTTACCTTGGCCTTGGACCGGACAGCACTTCCAAAACAAGGGGACACCTGGCTACCTTCGCATGCTCCCACATGTTGTAAGGTGAAGTGCTAAAGGTACTTTTCGGGGAACAGCAAGCACGGCCATGCCGAGCATGAGGGAAGCGTGGTGAAAGAGGGGAGACTGACACAGGCGTCCCGGGTCCTGGCCGCTCTTCTCCCCAAGGGAAGGGCAAGGTGGACGATCGGATGCACGAGATGATTGACAGGGGTTAGCAAGCCCAGAACAGGCCCTTGCGACTGAAAACAGCCTCGTCCAAAAACAATGGCTTGTGTGCTGGGACGGTTTTGTTACATGTTTGCCCAATTGCGCTGACCCCTCTTAAGAAAAGACTTTCTCAGACGCTCCTCACACATTATATGGCCTTGGCCATGTAAATTGTACTCGTCTCAAAATAAGCATTTCCTCGTCTAATTATAATTAGCTATCAACTTAGTGATTAACATAGTACACTCGTGGCACAAATGTACAAAGTATACTTGAGCACTTTGACATGCCTTCCCCTGAAAATTATTATATAGCAAATGAGTATATGTTATCTCGAATAAGAGAACAAATAGGAGCATTTGATGCTGAGAGAGAGAGAGAGTCTGGCTTTTAAAAATTATTATTATTGTTGTTATTGTTATTGTTATGTGTTATGCAATTCAATCTTAGTCCAATTCAGAGTTACACACTCATTGTGTAACGTTCCCTCTGGTTTCAATAAGTTTGATGGCACATGGCCAATTTACAAAGGCAATTTGGAGACAATCCAGGTGAGAATCCAGAGAACAAGCCTCTGCTGAGTTGTAGCCAATGTCATGATGAACTTAAGCCCCATTAATTTCAAGAAGATATACCGTCCCTGGATTGAGGCTTTTATGTGTGTCCCATCAGTTTGTTGTTATGTGCCATCAAATCATCTCCAACTTATGAATGAAGGCCCTTCAAAATGTCCTTCCCATTGACAGCCCTGCTCAGGTCTTCCAAATTCAAGTCTGTTGCTTCCGTAATGAAGTCAATCCATCTCTTATTTGGTCTTCCTTTTATTCTTCTGCCTTCAACTTTCCCTAGTATTATTGTCTTCTCCCATAAGTCCTGCCTTCTGCTGATGTGCCCAAACTTGGACAGCCTCAAATTTTGTCATTTTTGCCTCTAAGGAAAGCTCTGGCTTCAGCTTTCCCTTCAGACCCATCAGCACCACCACAACTTCTAGCTGAGACTCTGTACATAACTGACTGCCTTACACGGAATCGCACCAATGGCCCATTGGACCCAGTTCCATCCACATAGCCCAGCTGGCTGAAACTCTCCAGGCCATCGAGCGGAAGCTGCAGCTCAAGTGAGCAGGGAATGATTGGGGAATTGTTCAATGCATATGCTAGTCTGCGGAGCCACAAGCCCACACCTGGCTAAAGAACAAAGGGACCGAGCATCAAATCTAGACTCCTTGGGGCCCAGTTTGGCCCTCTGGTGTTGCCCAATAGCCCTACCTTATTTTCTTGATCTCATCCCCCTTCCCCCAACCACTAACAGTGAAAATGCCTCTCCTAAGGCTTAGGTAGTGGTTTAAGCTACGATCTATTTGGCCCCATCCACTTTACCTTCAGTGCTGCCCAGCACTGGAATTCAGCCCTGCATGTAAAAGTGGTCCCCCACTTCTGTCATATGATAAAGTTGTCAGAAACACCACAACACATTTCCAACCAAGCACCTTCATCCACCCATTAATGCTAGACCTTCTTCGCATTTTTACAAAGTTGGCTGGTTTCCCACTGACTTCATGTGCAGCTGTACAATCAGTATTTAGGTAGAAATATCACCAAGCAATTCTGCCTCCCTTCCGTTCCACCATGGTTTCCTGTTCTTGTAAATGTCTCCCTGTGTGATAAAATCAAGATGCAACAACTGTGGGAAGTGTAGCATTTATTTACAGTGGCTGAATGTCACGTCATCAGAATCTAAGCAAGTGGCATCATATGTACAAAAGTAACCACAGAAGAATTAGAGTGAAAACACTCAGTACATGGAGATACCTCCATCAACAGGGGCAAATTCTCCCCCCATCCCCAGCTCTGATGCACAGAAGATGTTGTGGTGTGCCTGCCATCTGGTGGAAAACCATGCACACGTATACACTCATTCACACACCATTTTCTTGGAAGCTATGGGAGGAAGCATGGAGACTCATCGTGAAAATAGCTCCCATGGGCCAGGACCCAAACTCAGACAGCTCTGCAATAAACTGGGAAGCCACGTGTCCTGGGCTGTCCCAGGAAACACTGCCTGGGGCACCTTCTTTTTTTTAGATGGCAAGGGAGAAGAAAAACCACAGACTGGTGTAATGGAACCAGAACTTGCAAGGATGCAGTGCTAACACTTTTTGATTATCAGGGACTCTGATCATCTGCTGCTCTCCTCCATATTCTCTGTTCCCCTTGAGCTTCACTGCAATCCTCATGGAAGCTGAGGAAAGTGGATTTTGTTGGTAAAATTAAATCATTGTGGGTGATTCCCAAAGAATTTTGGGGTGGTTTTGTCTGGAATGAGCAATTAAGACCTATTAGCTGTGCAAATGCCCTGCCCCTGGTGGAGTTGAAAAATGCTGAAAAAGATCAAAACAGCTGCCTGAACTTTGGGACTACTGAGGACTGTCCTGATTACTACCAGCAATGCAACATTTTCTACCATACCGCTATCTACAAGATCATATTTGCTTCATTGCTTATCCTCAAAACTCTGCCGATGCCTTCAGACACTGACTGCTTTCCCAGAAATTGACCCAGTGTCCCCGACTTCACCCAGTCTCAAATGCAGAAGCAGGTGTGTCATGATTTGTTGCCATAATGCAACATGAACTCTGCAGATTTTTGCCCTGCAGTTCCCGGACCATGACCCGTACTATCTGCATTGGCTATGCTGACTAGGACTGATGACAGCAGTAGGCTAAAATACCTGGAAGACCATAAGCTGCCTATTTCA